ACGGATGTTGCGAATCAATGCGTTCTAAAAAATTGCTTGTGCACTCGAGTTTGAAATCCGAACGAAACCGACTGATGCTTCAAGGATTTTGGCACGCGCGCGCGACGACGAGCGCGCGCGCGCTTCGTCCCATCTGTTGCAAATGGTTCTCACGACAGCACGCGCGAAAGGGCGTTCGAACGAATTCGAAATGCGCGCGCAAAGCCCGTTGGGTAACATTTTCTGAACAGGTTGAAAATTGGTGCACTTCTTAAGGATTCGCAAGGGCGCGCGTCGCGAAATGTATTCCCCTTGTTTTATATATATAAACAACAAAAAAAAACGAGAGAGAGAGAGAGAGAGAAAGAGAAAGAGAAAGAGAGAGAGAGAGAGAGAGAGAAAGAGAGAGAGAGAGAGAGAGAGAGACTTTGCAATCCTTACGAAGCCCAAGTTCTTTTTTAAGTTTCAACATGCGCGCGCGACAGCGCGCGCGTGCACTTCGCCCCATGATCCGCAAGGGATCATTGCCAGCGCATGACTTGTACTCAACGAGTGCGCGCGCAATTTTTCAGAGGGGGGCGGGGGGGGTCGACGCCGGTTGAGCTGGGGCGGCATGAACTCGCATTCAGGATGGACGCTGGAGCGAAAACGTATGTAAATGCCATAAGAACAGGGGGGCGGACATTCCCGGCTGGTAGAATTACCCTCCCTTGAGAAAAGAGAATGCGCGCGATGCAACCTACGCAGCGCTATCTACGCGGCGCAATCAACGCGGCGCAGTCCACCAGTGCTCAACTTGAAAATGCCCACTCCACTGCTCGCGCAAACATCCCACCCATCCACCCGCAACTTGGTTTGAACAGCCCATGCGGCTGCGATTGCGTTGAGTGCTTGGCGCTGGCTGGGTGCATCTCTGCGGCCACGATAGCGCTGGCCGCCAGGCGCATCCGAGCGGGCGCTTAAGCGCGAGTCGGCGACTTGGGCGGGCGCGGTGCCATGGCAACGTCGACAGCGGTAGACGCGGCGATGATAGCAACGATGCTGGCGGCGATGTTGACGGCGACGACGGCGCTGCCAACGACGGCGCAGATGCTGATCGAGCCAGCGACAGTGACGGCGCCCTCGCGTCCGCGATGGCGGTTTTGAAAGACTTCGGCACGCGCGCGCGGCCGACGCGCGAGAATGGCCCGCGCTGCGTTATTCGACGCGGATCGCCCCCCCCCACCCCCCACCCCAAGCACGCGCGCAAGGGCGCGCGAATGACTTCGGCGTGCGGCGCCAGGGGCCCGCTCGGCAGAATTCATTGAACACGTTGAACAATGCGCGGTTCCCTACCGAACTCGCAAGAACGCGAGCGCGCGCTTTTCTTGAAAACTCACGTTGCGAAACAATGTGTTTCTTATGTGTTTTGAATGCTCGGTTTCGAAATCGCCGCGAATCCTAAGAGGTTTTTTTAACGGATTCCGGCACTCGCGCGCGACGACGAGCGCGCGCGCACTTCGCCCAATCTGTCGCAAAGGATTCTCGCGACGACACGCGCGCAATGGCTTTCGAACGAATTCGACGCGCGCGCGTTGGGTAGCACGTTCTGAGAAGTTGTTCGACACCAGAAACATGGTTTGCTTGAGGATTCGCACATGGGCGCGCAAGCTTCCGTTGAAAGTCCGCGTTGCGAAACCAAGTTTCTTTATATTTATATATATATATATATAAACTCATGGGGCATTGGATTTGGAAATCCATGCGAAACCGCGGGATGTTACGGATTTCGGCGCGCGCGCGCGGCGACGCGCGCGTGTGGATTTCTCTTTTTTGTTGCAAGGGGTTCTTGAGCACTGATGACTTGTGATGAACGAGTGCATCACACTTTTTGCAAAGGATGGCGGGGGGGGCAGCCCCCCTGTGATAGTGTAATCTCATTCTTAGGATGGTCGATGGGGCAGAACTATGCGCAAATTGCAACGCGAAGAGGGGGTCAGATAATCCCAGGGGGGGAATGGTTTATTTTCCTTCAAGGAAGGAGGGTTGATGTGGTGAAATTAATTCCTTATCGCAGTGAGTTGCCCACTCCACTGCTCGCGCAAACATCCCACCCGCCCGCCCGCAACTTGGTTTGAACACCCCATGCGGCGGCGATTGCGATGAGTGCTTGGCGCTGGCCGGTGCATCTCTGCGGCCGCGCTAGCCCGCGCATGCTCGCGCGCGCAGCGGCCAGCTAGTTTGGCGCGACCGACGCGAACGCGGTATCATGGCAACGTCGACGACGGTAGACACGATGATCGTATTGATGCTGGTGGCGACGTTGAAAAAGACGACAGCACAGACAGCGACGGCGCCGATGCTGACACGCCTTCGACATGCGGCGCGAGTGGCCCGTTTGGCATAATTTGGTGACAATGTTGAAAAACCAATCGTTTTCTGAAGACTTCGCAAGAGCCCACGCGCAGACCTTCTTCAAAACTGATGTTACAACACCATGTGTTGCGCGCGCGCACTTCGTCTCATTTTCTGCAAAGGATTCTTGCGACAGCACGTGCGCAAGGGCGTTCGAACGATTTCGACACGCGCGCGCGAATCGCGTGTGGTAGCAGTTTATGACAATATCGGACAATCAGAAATTCGCAATAGCGCGCGCGATTCTCCAGTTTCTTAACGATTCGCAATAGCGCGCAAGCTTCGTTTGCAAAACCGCGTTGCGAAACCCTGTGTTTTATATATGTATTGGACTCTCGATTTTGAAATCCTTACGAAACCCAGAGTTTTCGAATGATTGCGGCACGCGCGCGACAACGCGCGCGTGTGCACTTCGCCATTTTTTGGGGCAAGGAATTCTTCAAACACTGATGTTGTTTGATAAACAAGTGCGCGCGCATTGTAGCTCTTGCACAGGAAGGGGGGGGTCGATATCGGCCCCCCTGGGGTGGTGCGCGCTCATATTTCGGATGGGCGATGGGGCAGAATCGTATTCAGATTGCGATACGAAAAAGGGAAAGGATAATCTCGGGGTGGGGGCGGGGGCGATCTTGCTTTCTTTCAAAAAAGGAAAATCTATGCGACGGCGACGGCGGCGAAAGGCGGCACCGCCCGCAAAAGCCGCCACTCGCCCCGAGTGGCGGCGACGGCGACAGCGACGGCGACGGCAGCGAAGGGAGGCACCACCCGCAAAAACCGCCATTCGCCCCGAGCGGCGGCGACAGCAACGGAGACGGCGACGGCAGCGAAGGGCGGCACCGCCCGCAAAAGCCACCACTCGCCCAGAGCGGCGGCGACAGCAACGGCGACGGCGACTGCGGCGACTGGCGGCACCGCCCGAAAAGGCGCCTTTGGTCCCGAGATGGTTAAGCCAAGTAGGAACACCTAAGTGCAAGCACTGTTTGGGAAACAAACAGAACCTGCAGAGCACCAGCCGAAGGGAGACGAAAACGGAAGAAGGAAAGATGGGTGAAAACTGGAAACCGAGCAGACAGCGCTCACTGGCGCACTTCTCACCCGTAGTGTTCGTATTGCTGCTCGTGGTATCCGCCGTGATGCTCCAGAAACACTGTTCGTTGCTCATGATCCCTGACGTGCTGCGCCTGGCACGTGTCGTGATGTTCATGTTGCCCGTCGTGCTGGTCATGGGACCCGTCGTGCTGTTCAGGGCGTGGGTGGATGAAGTGGGCGCAATCCGTCAGAAGGATGTCCTGTTCCCCCTACTGTTCCCCCCATGCCGCCTGTTGTGCTGCTCATGGCATGCGTGCTCGTTTGGGGATCCGCTCAGCATCTGGAGTAAGTGCCGCCCCCGAGAATATGGAACATCGAACTCACTCCTGTGATGTGCACATGGGAGCGTAGCAGACTTGACGCCGCGGCTGGGGGGGCAGGATATGTGCTCTGCCCGCCACCAGGCGTCCTCACGAGCGGAGATGGCAGTGGACAAGCAGCACAGGCGACGGAGCTGGCGTCGGAGCTGCTCTGAGAAGTGGCGTGCATGCCCGACTGGAATCGGAAAGATAGGTCGGGGACATGACACCTCGCTCTGGTGTCGGAGACATAGGAGCCGGAGCCGTGGAGGTGGGAGCCGGATTCGGAGAGACGACGATTGAAGCCGGAGTCAGACAGAAGGAATCCGGAGACGGAAAGATGCGGAGGCTGGAGACGCGGCACCATATCATATGGAATCGGAAAGAGGGGAGCCAGAGTCGGAGAGACGGCCACTGAAGCTGGCGCGGGGGCCAGCACTGGAGCGGCAGCCGAGGTTGGGCCAGGAGCGGTAGCTGGAGTCGGAGCTGGAACCAGGCCGCATCCTCGAAGCAACGCTTCTGGTGGGGCCGGCCTTAGGGCAGCAGGCAAAGACGTGTTCCTCAAAGTGATGCCCGTAGTGCTGCACAGAAAACTGGTGCTCTTCGCCTGGCGTCGGAGTTGGAGCCGGAACCAGAGTCCGATTGGAGCGGAGGCTGAAGCCGTAGCCAGTGACAGAGCCAGGGATGGAGTCGAAAACGGAGCAAACATCAGAAGGGGGGTCAGGGCCCGGGACGGAACTCTCTGGCGCACGGCACCACCGCACCGCGGTCACTGCTAAAACACCGCCACCACCTCACTGCCCCCCCCCCCCCCCCTACGCTGCCCCCACGACAGCGCCACAACACCACGACACTACGACACCACCGACGCAACATCGGCGCACCATCACAGCACCATGACGGTACTCCCACATGCAAGACAGCGCCACAGCACGGACTCCATCACAACACCGCCACGACGCTATGACACCACAACGCTGCCACACCACGAAACGACGACACCAGCTAGACTCCTCCGTGGGCGATGATTTAGAGCAGCGACAGTTCACCTACCCATCCCTAAGAGAAATGCGCACTCGCGCGCAGCTTTGTATTCATGCTACGAGATACGATTGGACTTGAGGCTGGTTTCATCAGGCGCCCCGCCTTTCCAAAATTACAACCCGGAGCCCAGGCCAGGGAAGGAAAGCTTGATAGGTGCACCAGCCGATAGGTGAACTCAGAAAGCACAAGGCAAGCCTCCGTAGAGGGAGCCGTTCATTGGGCTCACCGAGAAGAGGAGCAACTGATGCTCGAACTGGAAATCGGCGCCTCGGGACGGCACGGGCAGTGCAATGGCCCGCCTCACATTCCCCACTGACGATCACTGTTCCTCCGCCTCCTCCTTCTCATATACTTCTATGCGCACGTGAACATACACGCACAACGCACAAACACATACAAGTACCCTCGCATGCCCATATACAAGGAGGTGTGCGCATGTAGTGCACTAGCGAGCCGATGGGCGATTGTGTATACACGCGCATTTGCAAACTCACAACGACGCACATATGCGTACACCCACCCACGTGCGTGCACTCATCATTAGCACGCGTTGCGGCCTGAGAGCAAGCATAGCCACCACCCGAAGACATACCGAGTCGATGCGATGTCAGAGAGCGATGGCGATCCAAAACATGCACACGCAGCAATACACTCTTGTCGGCAGAATATCCTAAAACAGCGCTGTAGAAAACTAAAGGGAACACACATATACAACGTAGCACGTACAATGAAACAGATTACATCGAGCACTGATCGAGCACACGCATACGAGAAACCGTGCGGGAAACCATTCAAGAAACCATGCAGGAGAGAGGCCATGTAAAATACAGAAGACCACATGGGAGGCCACACGAAAAACCATACGAGAAACCATGTGGGAGACCATACGGGGAACCATGTGGGAGACCATACGGGAGGTCTTGCAAAATACGGAGGACCACATAGGAGACCTTACGGGAGACGATACGGCAACCCGTGCGGAAGACCATACTCGAACACATGCGGGAGACCATGCACCATATAAGAAACCATGCGGGGAACTATACGGGAGACCGAACGGGAGGCCATGCAAAACACGGTGAACCGCATGGGAGACCATACGGGAAGTCGTGCAAGAGATCCTGCGGAAGACCATACGGGAGACCATGCGGGAGATCATGCGGGAGACTGTACGGGAGGCCATACGGGAGGCCATGTATCATACGGGAGACTCTGTGGGCGACCAGACAAACAAACACCAGATACGGGACACCGCACGGGAGACCAAACGACCTACCGTGTGCAATTCCACGCGGAACGCCAGACTGGAGACCATATACAGGAAACCATACGGAAGACCATACCGGAGACCATTCCGGAGACAAGATGGGAGACCACAAGCCACGGGCCACCGAATCTGGATCCGGAGGCCAGAGGAGAACACCCGTGCTTTGAATCATGCGGACCCTTAGCCCGTGCTTTGAATCATGTGGACCCTTACAGATAAGTTGTTCCGGGAACCATGTCCGGATGCACATGCACACCCAGCATGTGTGCGTGTACATACGCAGACACAGAAGCATTCTCATGTGCATGCGCAACATGCGTACACGTGTGCACACCCGTGAAATGGGATGTGCATGCGGACGTGCACGAATATCTGAGCATTTACATGACATGCGCCCATGCGACTGCATGTACACACCCACGTGAACGCACAAACCTCAAGCAAATACACAAGTGCATGCACATACAACTGCGCCATCGTATCCGCCACTGTGCCTTGGGCAGGGTGTCGGCCGTTTTCTAGGGATGTCCCCCCAAAGCCTACCACTACCTACAGGAATCCCTCAAATACCGTCCTCCTCAGACATGCCAAAGCCGCCCGAAAAAAAGATCCAGGACGGTTTCATAAACTGTCCAGACGTTCCCGAAACCAACATACAGAGATCCAGAGACCGCCTAAATGCTCCCAACGAAGTGTCTCCGAGCGGCCACAATAGGTCCCACGGGGCCTTCAAGCGGCGTTCCAAGACGAAGAGGCAGTAGAAACGTACGGATATTCAAGGTGTTGTTTCCAAGCCCTTTCAGTGTAAGATGGGCTCCAGAAAGCGCCTGAGAGCCTCATGGTAATCTCGTGGGTACCAACAGGCCCCCATGCCAGACCCAAGACGGCCTGAAAAGCTGCGAGATCGCCTCACGACCCGAACATGGCCTCAAGATTACTCCATGGGGCCGCTTCAGGATGGCTCCGTAGAAACACCGCACCCAACGTAGGGTCCGCCTCGAATGGCCCTGCCTGGACCATGTGGCCAATGGGGTTCTGAGATTATGGCAAGGAGAGCACGGTCGCGCACGGGCAAGGTGGTCGCGTGTACGTGCATGCGTTTGATATGACGGCATAATTGTGAGCGTTGTCTCATTCTGCGTTTCAACATTGGGCGGAGAGGGGGCGGAGGGGGGGGATTCTGGCTCTGGACCTCTGCTTAGCGCGACTGTTTGCAACAGTGCGTACTATGGGGGTAATGTGTACCAGTACTTGCTTGTCAGGGTCGGGGCCCTATACCTTCGACTCAGCCTGGATGACGGCGGCCTACAATGCCCACCGCCGCGGCGTCTCCCCTCCCATCCTCCTCCTCCTCCTCCTCCTCCTGCTCCTGCTCCTCCTCCTCCTCCTCCTCGTTCCTCCTCCCCCTGCTCCTCGTTCCTCTTCGCTCCTCGCTCCTCCTCGCTCCTCCTCCTCCTCCTCCCCCGCCTCCTGCTCCTGCTCCTCCTCCTCCTCCTCCTCCTCCTCCTCCCTCCTCCTCCTCCTCCTCCTCCTCCTCCTCCCCCTCTTCCTCGCCCCTCCCCCTCGCTCCTCGCTCCTCCTCCTCTCCCTCTCGCTCCTCCTCCTCCTCCTCCTCCTCCTCCGCCTCCCTCCTCCTCTCTCCTCCTCCTCCTCCTCCTCCTCCTCCTCCTCCTCCTCCTCCTCCACCACCACCACCACCACCACGTCACATCATCATCATCATCATCATCATCATCATCATCATCATCATCATCATCATCATCATCATCATCATCATCATCATCATCATCACATCATCATCATCATCATCATCATCATCATCATCAGCATCATCATCATCATCATCATCATCATCATCATCATCATCATCATCATCATCATCATCAGCATCATCATCATCATCATCATCATCATCATCATCATCATCAGCATCATCATCATCATCATCATCATCATCATCATCAGCAGCAGCATCATCATCATCATCATCATCAGCATCATCATCATCATCAGCATCATCATCATCATAATCATCATAATCATCATCATCATCATCGTCAGCATCATCATCAGCATCATCATCATCAGCAGCATCATCATCATCATCATCATCATCATCATAATCATCATCATCATCATCATCATCATCATCATCATCAGCATCATCATCATCATCAACATCATCAGCATCGTCATCACCACAACTACCACCACAACCACCACCACCATCATCATCATCATCATCATAAGTATCATCATAATCAGCATCATCATCATACTCAGCATCATCATCATAATCATCATCACCATCATCATCATAATCATCATCATCATCAGCATCATCTTTATCATCATCAGCATCATCATCATCAGCATCAGCATCATCATCATCATCAGCATCAGCATCATCATCATCATCCTCTTGCTCCTTCTGCCGCTCCTGATCCTGCTCCTCGTCCTCCTCCTCCTCGTTCATCCTCCTCGTTCCTCGTCGTTCCGCTACCCTGCGCTTGGTTGTCGGGCTCGAGGCCCTGTCCACTGGGTCTGGACACTCGGGGCGCACTCGGCGCAGGAGCGGCGAGAGATCGCCCGCTCCGCACTCTGGCGGTGGGGCGCCATGTTTTAGGCCCCGCGCCCAGGTAGGGTGAGCCGTGCAGGGCGTACCTCGGGGCCAGCAGGAGGGACCTCCTCCTGCTCCGCCTCCTCCTCCTCAGTATCATCCCCCTCACTCCTCCTCCTCCTCCTCCTCCTCCTCCTCCTCCTTCTCCACCTCCTCTTCCTAATCACCATCCTCGACCTCCTCCTGCTCCTCCACCTCATTCTCCTCCTCGACCATCCTCCCAATCCCTTCTCCTCCTCCTCCTCCTCCTCCTCCTCCTCCTCCTCCTCCCCCGCCTCCTGCTCCTCCTCCTCCTCCTCCTCGTCCTCCTCCTCCTCCTTCTCGTCGTCCCTTGTCATCCTCATCCTCCTCCCCCTGCTCCTCGTTCCTCGTCGCTCCTCGCTCCTCCTGGCTCCTCCTCCTCCTCCTCGCTCCTCGCTCCTCCTCCTCCTCCTCCTCCTCCTCTTCATCCTCCTCCTCATTATCCTCCTCCTCCTCCTCCTCCTCTTTCTCCTCCTCCTCCGCCTCCTCCTCCTCTAAGTATTAGTATTCGTATGATTAGTAATACTGTTAGTAGTAGCATTATTATTGTTATCCGTAGTGTCATTGTTATATACTCAGTAGTATGATCATTAGTTTTATAATTATGAGTAGTACTATTAGTAGCAGTAGTATGAGTACTACTAGTATTATTACTATTGTTATCAGTTTTATCAGTGGTAGTATTATTAGTATTGGTATTACCATTTGTAGTATACGTATTATTTTTCTGACTATGGTTATGAGTATGATTATGAGTATGATTATTCGTAATCGCATTGTTCGTAGTAGTAGCATTCGTGCCATTGTTTTTAATGTATTAGTATTACGACTGCTACTATTATTGTTAGTCTTACCAGTATTCGCATTGGTATTATTAGTGTTGTTGTCATTATTATTATTATCAGTAATAATAGTGTTATTGTTCTTATAACTATTCGTATTACTAGTAACATTAAGCATATGCTCATTCGTGCTATTGTTACTGTTATTACTAGTAGTTGTCCTCTTACCCTTCTACATATTATTATTATTATTATTGTTGCTTGCTATTCTCCTTACTATTATTCTTAGTATTATTATCATGGTTATCCTTGTTCGTATCCTTTTTCTTCTTCGAATTATTCCTCGTCCTCTTCCTCCTCTTCCTCCTCTTCCTGCGCGCCCTCCTGCTCACCCGCTACCTCCTCCTCCTCCTCCTTCGCGAGCGTGTTCCGACCTCCTCTTCTTCTTATGATTATTATCAATAGTATGGTTCTTATTATTGTTAGTATTATTCCTCTTCCATATCTGTTCATTATAGACAACTTGTCCGTGTCGCACTCCGAAGCATTATTTGGGGCGGGGGAGACGTTTCGCCGGAGACTGCCCCACCATTGATGTCCCTGAAGCTTAAACATTGGCAACAGTTTCGCGGATGGAGGGCTGCTGTCGCCTTAGCGCCGCGCACATTCGTTTTAAACATTTCAAGAGCTTCACGGATTGAGCGCGGGTCGTTTTCAAAATGTAGCTCTAGCCTCCACGGAAACGGCCTCGGCCCTCTGCGCCGCGTCGGCCGCGTCGGCCGAATTGCATGACTCTGGCACAAGAGCCCGCCGCAGATCAATCAGAAAAAGGGCAGAAGCAAGCCCCCACAGGGTGGCAACAAGCAGGATACGGGACGGGGGCTGCATATGCCTGAGCACAGAGAGCCTGCGGAAACGCCAAGGAGACTCTCTCTTCCCCAGCTGCAAACTGAGCCCGCTCTATTATGATCATCGCCATCATTACCAGCATCACCATGCATCATCAGCATCATAATCAACTTCAACATCACCATCACCATCACCATCACCGTCACCACCATCACCATCGTCATCATCGTCATCACCTCCGTAGTCGTCATCAACATCATCATCATCATCATCATCATCATCATCATCATCATCATCATCATCATCATCATCATCATAATCATCACCATCATCATCATCATCATACAAACAGGGGCCGGTCAAGGTGCTAGAATCTGCCATGGTTTTGGGCTTGCGCCGAGTGTGGTAGATAGGACAAACGAGCGTGGGCCACGCGCATAGACCCCCCACCTCGTTGGCGGTGACGGTTCTTATCCCGATGTTTTCTCATGCTGGCTTGTTTTTGTCGCCTGGAAGTGCCCAACTCAATCCAATCCAATCCTCCTTCTCCTCTGGCCACTGGCTGTTATGGTTCCAACAGACACTCCTGCACGGAGCACTGGCGAGCGCTGGGCAGTGGATAGACGCATGCGACGCACGCTTCTGGTCGTACACGAGGCGGATCGTTCCAACGAGCATGCCACAACTCCAAGGGGACGCAAACGCAGACGCAAACGCGCGAGTCCGCCAGCCGGCGGGCCAGCAGGCCCCTTAGGGGCGGCGCGGGCGGGCCGGAGCCCGGTCACAGGCATGCGAACTTCAAGAAATCGCTCTCGAGGTCCGCCCAGAATTTGGAAGTTGTAGCACGGAAGGAAGGAAGGATAGGAGGGAAAGGAAGGAAGGGAAGGAGGGAGGGGTGCGGAGAGAAGGGGAGAACACGGGAGCCGGTTGCGCTCGGAGCGGGCCACACGGCGAAGCGAGGCCGTGCCGCGCGCCCGTGTCCCGCTGGTGGGGGGACGGGGGACCGAGACCGCAGGCGCTGCCCTCGGGCACCCCTCGGGGTCCACGAACACGTGGACGGACACCTCCGTCGCAGGGAACTCGCACACGGGCACCTGCGAAGAGGCAGCAACACATCTCGGCATGGCGTCCGGATCATGATGGGCTCGTGGACCGTCCGCGCTGGGGTGCCCAGGCGCCAGTCACGACGGTGAGCGTTTTCTGACTCAGCGTTTCGACATTGGGTGGAAGTGGGGGGAGGGGGGGTGTCTGGCTCGGAATCTCTGCTTAGTGCGAATGTTCGCAACAGTGCGTCGTACGGGAGAGAGGCTCCACCTGCTTGAGGCAGGCGCCAAAGACTGCCCAGATCCACTCCAGGGAGGGGGGGGGAGGGGGTGTGCGAGGGCCTGCGCCGATCGGCAAACCAATGAATTGTTTTGCTTCGAGTGATCCCCACCGAAAACTTCGGCGTTTGATCCCGGAGGTGTGCGCGCACAGGGGAATGATGTGCGCGGGGCGCGGCGGTCCTCTTCGCTTGTGGTTAGGGTTATTCGAAATCGTGTTCTTCTGCTATGTGGCACCGTGTTATAACATTGTCAGTGTGCCAAATATGTCATGCTATGCGTCGCTCAATGGTGCTGATTACGCTATGCGGAACTCCATACAAAAAATCGCCGTGGTAACTACCGTCAAGAACTTTGATGAGATAATAACCTTAATCCGCTATGTCATGGTGTGCGTTGATATTTTTGTTACGCTCGATGCTGCGTTATGTCATGCTCCATTATGTCAGGGCATGGTAACTCATTATATACCACTGCGCCCTGGTATGTTACAATCTGTCATGCCACTATTAATTATGCGATGATGTGCCATGTTACACAATGCGGTGATTATGCGTTATGTTGTAATGTGTTATGCCATGTTGTGTCGTGGTACCCCTTGTTATGGTGTGCTGTTGTTTTGTCTGGTAATATGTATGGTGTTATGTTATACTCTGCGTGATCCGTAGCAGTAGCAGTAGCAGTGGTAGTAGTAGTAGTAGTAGTAGTAGTAGTAGTAATAGTAGTAGTAGTAGTAGAAGTAGTGAAAGAGAAAATAATGGCAATATGGTGTGACGTCGTGACGCCTGTCACGTGTGATACGTCGTCGACTGGGTCGTGGCTCCGCCTGTTTGGTCAAGTGGCCAGCCTGACCTCGGCGCAGACGCCGCATGTGATAAAATTGCAGTACGGCGAAGTATGTCCCCAAGGTCCTCTTCGCTTATGGCTTTTGATATTCTAGAGTATGTGGTTCTGCTCTGTGGCACCGTGATACCACATGGTATTTTCGGTCAGCCTATGGTATGGTATGTGTTGCCCAGTGGTGTTAGTTACGCTATGCTAAGCCCATTCCAATATAGTTGCCGTCCTGGTCGCAATAGTGAAGCACTTCTGGTACCCTCTCTCAGAATCAAATGTTTGATGATGTACTCTGCTATGCTCTTGTATGTCATGATATGCGTTGTTATGTTATGTGATGCTCGATGCTGCGTTCTCCCATGCTGTGATCTGCCAAGACAGTGTAGTTGAGTATCTCGTGTGTCCTGGTATGCTACAATATGGCATGCCGCTGTCCCGTATGGTATGCTCTATCATGCCATGCATTGTGGTGACCCTGCGCTATGTTAAGGTATGGTGTGCCATTAAGTGAAATGGTGTGCTCTGTTATGTGGCGCTATGTTATTGTCTGGTGTGCCGTCTCTCGTTTGGTATGGCGTGTGGTGCTATGATATGTTCTGGCTGCTCCATGGTGGTATTGCATGCGCGACTGGGGTATGTCTTAGTATTAAATGGTATCACATGCTATGTATGGTATGCATTGTTATGATGTGGTGGTATGACGTAGCATGGTATACAGTGTTATACTGTGGTATGCCGCGCTACGGCATGGTATGATGTGTCCTGTTATGGACTGATGTGGGATGTGCCACTGTGATAAGGTGTAAAATGTTCTGTCACAACATGGTATGATGTGATATGGTCTGCCATGGTGTGTCATAGTATACTCTGTTATGTTGTGATGCGAGGCGTGGTGTTATGCTATATTATTTGTAAACCAGTATGGTGTAGCTTATGGTGGTATGATCTGAAATCTTCTGCTACACTATAGCATAGAATGCCGCGCTCTGTCATGTGATGATGTGTCTGGTCTGGAATGATATGTGCTGTGATGCTGTGTGATATTGGATGTGTTGGGTCATGGTATAGTATGTGATACTCTGTTGTATAATCGTACGGAATGTTCTTGACATGATGCTGTGTATGCTCCGATCCGTCATAGCATGCATTGTCATGCTGTGGTGTACTATGCTGTACTAGGCCATGGTATGTGATGTTGTGGCAGGTTCTGTTTTGGCATGCTCAAATATGCGTCGGCTTGTTATGGGGTGGTTGGTTCGTCATGGTATGGAATGATATGTGCTGTGATGCTGTGCTGTGGTATGCACTGCTCTGTCATGGTGCGCTGTGTTACGAGATGGCCTGTCATGACATGGTGCGTTATGCTCGGATCTGTTCTGTTAGGTTGTGTGATGTTCTACTCTGTTATGTGGGGAACCTGGAGATCTGGCGGCAGCGGTATGCAGAGCAGGCGAGTCGGCGCGGGGGGGCGGGATCCTCAGGGATGATCGGGGGACCTGGGATCTGGCGGCCGAGGTGTGCAGGGCGGGCGGGACGGGAAGCTGGTTTCTTAAATCTAACGACCCCAAACCCGTCGGCTGGGGAATAAGAAAACGATCACATGGCTGGCACGGCCCTGGTCTGCGTTTCGAGGCCACCCGCTTCGGTGGCGCATATGCCTTGCGGAATCGCTCTGGCACGTCGCTCCGTGCGGACCTTTACCAGAGGGTGCGGGGAGTTCGCGGTCACTCGAGTGCGGCGACTGCAAGTTCGACGAGAGATACGAGAAACTGAAGACTATCGTGCACCGCCCTGTTCAGCGGAAACAGGATATCTATAGACATGTGTATGCATACGTCTCCAAAGCTGATATATATACACATATATATATATATATATATACGCATGTAACATACACATATGAATATCGAGAGTGCGTATGTGGGCGAGTAGGATGATCGAGTACACAAGCAGGTAGTAAGGCTGGTATTGAAGTCGGCAGACAAGGAAATAGGAAGGAACGCAGGCCACCCATTACAGACTTGCTCCTCCACAGAGGCGCCAGAACATCCACGGGTAGCCATTTTTTGGGCTGCTAAGAACGAGTTGCACCAGGACCCTGCAAGGCGCGCTGAGCCAATGGCCGCGGGATCTGCGGTCTGGGGCGTGGGGGCCTGGGAGAGCACCCTGGGAGAGCACCCCGGTCTGAGGGCGTGGGGGCCTGGGCACGAGAGACACACAGAAACCATGTATTAAGCGCGACTAAATAAGAGGGGCGCCAAGGCGAGGAGAAGGGAGATGGCCACCGCACGCTCTCGAGGACCCTGCCTGGCTGTCTTCCGGCCAGCCCAGACCAATAGGGTGACACCACGAGCCCGACGAGAGGGGGGGGGTAGGAGAAAGGAGAGGCCCAATCAAAGTTTTTTGTCGCGGACCTGGCGAGCGCGCGGGTCGGGTCATTCAAGCGGACCAGGGGCGCTGGACAGCGAATTGTACACTGCAAGAGGCTGTCACTCATCCCAAGAGAGGCCGGGCGGCTGCGGAAGGGAGGAGCGGGCGGGGAGAGGCAAACCGAAACCATGAAGGTTTTCGTCAGCATGCTGCGGCCCAGGCTCGCTCGACAGGCCCCATCACGTATGCACTCACTCAAGCCCCAAACCTCGCCCCGTCTGCCTCCCAGCTTCATGGCCGTCGCTGGGAGAGGGAGCACCGAAGAGGCCCGCGCCATCCGCAAGCAACCAGCCCCCTGAACATCGACGTCCCGCCAGTCGGAACGAAAGTAAAGGACGGACCAGGAGAAATGGCGGCCAGGGCGGCGCAACACACACACACACACACACACACACACACACACACACACACACGCGCACACACACACACACACACACACACACACACACACGCGCACACACACACACACACAAACTTTGGCGTCGCAGCCGCACGCGCAGCGACGCGGCGAAGTCGGGCAGTAAGCGGATAGAACGAGTGCGCGCAGGGCCATCACACAACAGCTGGGCGCGCCCGCAGGGGGCGCGGAGGTCAGACGACACGGGTTACATGCTGATGTAACCCTTTGCGGCTGACAGGCGCCAGGTAAAGCGGGATAAGACATGCGAACGCAGCCTCTGAGGCCTTAGGTGAAGCTCCCGATGGGGCCACAAAACGTGTGAGGGGTGTGCCAAAGTGAGGGGGGTGGCGGCATGCGGGCGCAGCCACTGGGGCCTTCGATGGAGCTCCATTATGGGGCCACGAAACGTGTCAGGGGTGTGCCGAAGCAGACACGCGAAAGAGAAGGGGATATGACGGCGATGATGATAACGATGATGATGGTGAGGACAAGCGGAGGGCAGATGCAAGATTGGGATGAGGGAGAAGCGGGAGGAGGAGGAGGAGGAGAAGAGGAAGAGGAGGAGGAGGAGGAGGAGGAGTGAGACGCGGGGCGCTGTCTCTTCAAAACGAAGACCCAACACCACAGGATTCCTGGGAACTAATATGCTGAACATGCAGGTTTTCGAAAAAGGGAATGGGACAATTTGGGCCTCTGGAGGCCGTCCCGAGAGGTCTATGAAGAGCCTCTTGGGACTCCCGGGGCGCCTCTGGGGCTGTCGCGATGTCATCTGGGGCTGTCTTGGATCTCTCGTGGGGCGCTCTTGGATTCTCGAGGGCCACATCGGAGGCTACTTACCTTGGGCGGTCTTGGAAGACTGCCGGGCTTTCTGGACCTCCAGGGGTCGCCCAGGGAGGTCCCCGAAAAGGGGAGGACCGACATATCGGGGATCTTCTGACCCGGCTCAATCTAGACCCGGGTCAGCAGGAAACCAAAAAACTGCAACGCAAGAAAAGAAAACTGCAACGCAGGTCTTCGCAAACCCGCGTCAACCAATATGCGCGGCCGCCTCGCGGCCACGAGCGGCTCGCAAACCCGGGTCAGCCAGAGGGGGTCTTCGCAGGATCCTGCAGGATCCGGTGCCCTGGCTGACCCCCGTTTGCATTGACCCCCGTCTCAAGGCTCCCGAACATAGAAAGAAAGTCCCGGCCCGGTGGCCCGGGGCCAAAATCTCCCATGTGTATACGTGTACGGCCCGTCATCTGCTATTCACCTGTGCGCTCGCCAACCTGAACAGCCATATTTCTCCCGCGCAGATCCGCGAGGCCCACAGCGGGTCCGCGTTCGTGGCCCAGCAGGCAGGGCTCGACGGCCCCTGAACCCTGGGCTGCGGAACCCAGGATCCAGCGATCAGGAGCTCGGCAAATCCTGGTACACCGCCGATCGATCTGGCCGATAGATCACAAACCTTGGGCGCCCGTCGGGCGCTGCACGTTCTGCCCCACCCGGCGGGCTGCACCTCCAGCACCGTCTGCGTGAGGTTTAGCCCCTCCAGGCCGAACACGTCCCCCTGCGAGGAGGCTTTGTTACTCGCGCGAGCTCAGAATCGTCTGTCGAGCTCCGGGAACTGTGGACCGTGCGCACGGCGTGCCGTCGGGTCCGTCCTGCGCGACGGGCGTCTGCGGGCCTGGGGTGCTGACTTCCAGCAGAAAGGTGGATGCTGGTCCTGCGTCGGGATTCGGGCCACAGGTCGGGCAAACCTGGCAAATTCAAAAACGGCTGCCTTCCAGCTACAGGTCAGGCCTCAGATGCTGTCCGCCACGAGACCCAGCTGCACGGTGCCTCTGCACAGTAATTCGCCGACACTGGCCGTATCGTTACGCGGCCAACGACCCCGCACGTCCGAAGTGAGCAAATAATACTTAAGTTGGCGTCGCCTTGGGCGTGAGGGGGCTCGATTGTCCATGCCGTATTCAGCGGCTCCCCGACCTGAATCTACGGGATACGACCCCTCCCGAGCACACAAAAGTGGTCCCAACTTCAACGCATCGGCTGTGCGTCGAGACACCCCGAAGCCCGCGGAGAAAGCTGAGAGGGCGTGGATATGGATCTGTTCGCCGCTCCTGAAATAAAGCCATCGTGCTACCAGGACCATACGCAACGCTGAATAAGGAACGAACGGGCGTGTCTGGCAGAGGCGAGCCTCGACCGCGAAGAGGCTCCCCGACCTGAATCTGCGGGATACGGCCCCTACCGAGCACACAAAGCGGTCCCGACTTCAACGCATCGGCTGCGCGTCGAGCCCCTCCGAAGCCCGCGGTGAAAGCAGACTGCCTACCAAACCATCCCGACCCAACCCGAAGTCACCGTTGGGCTCGTCGATGTCCGGTGGGGGGGCACTCCAGAACACTGTCGGCGGCGAGCGAGGGGGGAAATGAGAAGGAGAAGGTCTTTCCACAAGGCGGCGGAACTTCTCGAGAACCCTCGAGCCGTCTGCGAAGTTTCCTTGAACTTCTGGGAAGGCTTTATAAGCTTCTCAGAAAGCCAAGCGGCTTCCGAACCTTCTGAGAAGGCCTTCTCCTTCTCACTTCCCCCCCTCGAGGCTCCGGGCAGCATTGCCAGGCAGGCGCCTCCTAATTCCCGTCTGGGTCCGCCTGCGTGGAGACGAGGCGGGGCGTTCTCCCGCCCTTTTGGCAACATTCACCTTTTCATATCAGTTGATAGCTGCCCAGAGCCAGCGCGCTGGTCCGTTACTACGGCTGGCCGCGGCTGGTACAACGGCGAAGAGTGCTCGCCGAGAACCAGCTTGGCATCGACGACAGCGAGAGAAGAGAGCTTTTGGTTCGCCTGTCATCACGAGACGTTTTTCTCGCTCGACAGCGGTTGCAAAGTCATCCGTCGTTCAATATGTCAGAGTTGCCCTGGCTGTGCATTGCGTGTGGAGTCTCCAACTTTCCTCAAAGGACTACTTGCCGAGCGTGCGACACGGTGAGGCAGGAGATTGGAGCCAGCACACGTGCTCGACATGGTCGACTCAAAGGAGGCAAAGCTCGCAGCAAAGGTGCGACGAGTGCTGGAGATTCGCCTGCCCGATTCGACCGAATTCTGCCTCCTCCACAGCCTCTGCAGCCCATACTGCGACAGCCGATGAGAGACTTTGCTCAGGCTCACGGGGAAGATGCGGGTCGAGCTGTGCCTCGGCATCATGGCAGGAGAAATTCTCGGGCTCGCACGAGGTCGCCGTCAGTCACGTTTGCAGACGAAGCAGAGTCCGAGCACGAAGTTGTCACCAACAACCATTTCAAGAGCCTCGGCATCATTCCTGCGCTGCCTTCGGAGGCCAGGATGCACGACCACTTTCCTGGAGAATTGCATCAAGATGCGACGGAGGTAGAGCGTCGAGAATATATTTCAGATTGCAGGAATCAGCTGAGGATTCTAGCAGGCACCATTCGTCTTCGAGAGAGATCTGGAGAGATGGCACACGAAGAAAGGTCATGGTATGCTGCAGTGCTCACGGCAATTCACCTGTGCCGGCCTTACAAACAGCAGCGCTCCCGTCAGGAAGATGCGTTGAAGCGCGCTGTGCAAGGGCAAGAGCTAGTCAGCAAGAAGATCGACGACGCGAAGGAGAGGCTTATCAAACTGGAGGCTCAATTTTCTTTCGCGACGGAGTGGGTCCAGCGGCGCCAGGTTGCACTGGACGAGATTTTGGCAGATGCTCCGTCTGGAGCAGACATGGAGGAAGACGACGATATCCCACAAGATGCAGATGGAGAACCTCCAAGAGTTCATCTTCGTGTGGGTGTTCAGCCTCAGCAGGCACATTCACAGAGAGACTCGGACGGAGGTGGTCCGCAACATCGTCATCAAGCTCCTGCACAACAAGTGCTACCAGGAGTGCTTCCCGACATGGCGGCCATGCAAAGACAGATTGCGGCGCTCACTACATCGGTGTCTGCGTATCAGAGTCAGCTGGCCACAGTCCAAGGCAAGCACGACGCTCTGGTGATGGCGATGGCGCCTGGTACTGGGATGGTGCCTCCACCAGATGCGCTGCATGGAGTTGCTCAGCATGTACAGGGTCAGGCTCAATCGCAGGTCCCGAGCGTCGCAGTGGAGACCAGCCATTCAGATGGTTCAGCTTTGACGTCGGCGGCTTCGGCTACGCTACCTCATCATCGAGCAGCACGTCGGGAACAATCAGTGAGAGCATCAACGGCTCAGAGGTCTGCCACGTCCCCAGTGAGCGGCCAGGCTCGCGAGAGTCGAGATCGCAGCCGAGATCGCCTGGAGATATCGACAAGAGTAGGCCCCTACGACAGCGACGAAGAGTTGGATCGAGCAACTCGGGATGCTCGAGACAGGGCTGCGCGAGAAGGGGGGTAACATCTGCCCCCACTCCGACCGGCTTGCCTGACGATCGGAGTGATCAATGTTTTTCAGGCGCTGTCAGGACAGACTTCGTGCCTATGCCGTACATAGCCGACTGTCTGCTGCAGCAATGGAGTCTCCAGCATCATCAGGACTGGCGACAATTCCAGGACTACCTCCTACCTTGCACTCTTGAGTTCTTTCAGGAACTTACTCCCTGGAGCTTGGATTTGAGAGATGTTTCCAGAATCGATGTGTACACTGATGGAAGTGGGGGTTCAGCTTCTATCCCTCCTGCATGGGCCTTTTGTGCTATGGTTGTCTCTCGTGATGGTGCTTCGCATTTTTTGGTGAGTCTGGTTAATGCGTTTGAGCGTGACAGGTTTTCTGTATCGCCCACGCAGTTGAGCATGGTCTCTGAAGCACTTGCATTGATTTGGGCCATGGGCTGGGCCATGCAGCCACAGTTTCGAGATGTGTTGTTTCAATTTCACATGGATAATTTTGTCGTAATGTATGGCGCACAGGGCAAATGGGATATACCTGAGGTGGGTGGGCTGTCTAGCTGCTTGCGCTCCATGTATCACATGCTCATCTGTTGTCATACCACACGTTTTGCGCATGTACCTGCTCACGCACACCATCCTCTAAATGAGTACGTTGATACTTTTGCTGCGTTGGCTGGGCTGGGTATCATTAAAGGCCCTGAGGAGTGCCCCTGGAGCCCCATTTTGCAAGATCCTTTCTCGTCTAAGTGGGCATGGTTAGAGTTGCTTCCGGGTGACTTGCGAGCCCAATAGCCTGAACTGAAGAAGGGGAGTCTTATGATTTGGGATCCTGATGGGAGGACTGCGTGCCCTCCGCTTGTTGCGAATGTTGGCAATGTACCAGATCTTTTTCCGCATCATGAGCACTGCCAGAATGTGGAGAGCACTCCTTGCCTGCAAATATGTATGGCTTTCGCCAATGTCCTTACCCTCCAGAATACTTCAAAAGGAAAACTGATGGTTGGAGCTTTTATATCAGGACGTCCAAGGCTGCTCGCCGAGCAGTTCAAACTCCAAGGGTTTGGTGTTGTTTGAACTGCAGAGACCAGGATGCCGTTTCCAGGGTGGGCCAACATAGGCTCCAATCTCGTATTGCATGGACCTCGGCATGATTCAGGATCACATGGGTGCTCTCTCTGGTTGTGTCGTTGGCTCCAGCTTGTTCCAGGAAGGCCCGACACGGCGATTTCTAGGCAGAGACTTACTGTGGTTGAGGCTATCCCGACGTTGCTCATAGTGAATTTGGCAGTTGCATCGCTCAGCGTTACTTTTTGCGTGGCGCATGCTCCCCACTCTGGGCACTCGGCCTCGGATATCCAAGCTTGGTGGAAGTCAGCTACATGTTCTGTCCGCAGAGCTGCTGACAAGGCAGACTATTTATTTTTGCTTCTGGATGCTAACGCCACCTTGGGAACGACGGTCTCTACGTCTGTTGGATCTGTGGGTGCTGAATTTGAGAAGTGTTGTGGTTCGTGCTTCCACATGTTTCTTCGTGACCTCAAGCTCTGCGTTCCGTGTACGTTCCTGGGGACTGCGTTTGATCATAAGACATGGGTGCCTCCTGGAGCGTTGTTCCCAACTAGGCGTATTGACTATGTGGCTGTACCTATTTGCTGCTTACCTCATGTATCTGGGTCTAGAGTCAATCATGATATCGAGTTATCTGTTCCAAAGCCAGATCATCTCCGTGTCCAACTTACGATTCGACTTCCAGATCCTCCGATACGGTCATCCAAGGCTCTATGTTCTAAGAAACCCCCTCTGGACCCTAAGTACATTCGAGATCCTGGCCGCATTGCGAGCTTTTACCAGCATATGATGGCCTGCCCGACACCGCCGTGGCATGCACCTCCTACTGAGCACTGTGCTTTGTTCTCTGCATGTGTCAGAGAAGGTATGGAGCAGTGCTTTGTCAACAAGGATGCTCACAAGACTGAATCGTCTAGTTGTGTCAAGGAGGCAGTACGAGCTGTGCGCACTCACCGCCGCGCCTTGCGACAGATTCGCTTATCTGTTGCGAGGCTCTGGCTCGGTGAAGTGTTCAAAGCGTGGCATACTGTCAAGACGCACGGGCCATGCAGTTTTGAAGAAGATGAGCTACCCGAGCAGCACTTGGATTTGCTGGCCTCTGCAGGTCGGGTGGGACAGCAGGCCCGTGACAGTGTGCAGGCGTTGCTTGGTGTCTTATTTGCTTTGAATGGTACATGGGAGCGCCGTGTACTTGGGAAACCTGTCTTGAGGTATCGTTGGCATTCGTTGCTTGGGGATATTCGAGCTACTGTTAGAGGCCTTACTGGCCCTAAGTCATGGTCTGGGCTGGCGCTGTTGTGCCGTATGCTGCATCTAAGGGTTCAGGCGTTCCTATACCTACTGCTGGGTCCCTTAAATCGGGCGGCGCACTCAAGGTCCAGGGCCGAAGTGGAGGAGTAGCTAAATGAAGTTGCACAGTCCATTGGGGATCTCTGGTCTACTCGGGAGTTTGGGGACGCATTTGCAGCTCTGCGTCGACTAGGAGCTGCAGGCAAAAAGCACCGTCAATCTAAGGTACTGCCAGCAGTCCAGGGGCCCGATGGACACCTCGTGGCATCTAAGCAGGAGGCTAACGAGCTTTGGCTTGAACACTTTGCTACGCAGGAAATGGCCGCCAAGATCGAGCCGGCCACTTTCCTGAGTATGTTTCAAGATCGGCGTGTTCCTGCAGATGTGGTTTCTCGCAAACATGCGTGTGTATCTACATTGCAGGATTTCCATCGAGAGTTGCGGCTTACTAGAAGCAGCGCAGGTGGTGCTGATGGCCTACATGGCAAGTTTGTGCACACTTGTGCTGATTCATTGGCTGTCGCCTTCTACCCGCTCATTGTGAAAACAACACTATTGATATCAGAACCGGTACGATGGAAAGGTGGAGACTTACCCCGTATTCCAAAAGCCCGTGGTTCTGTGTATACTCCTAGCGCTTCTAGATATATACTGGTAGCGTCACATATTGGCAAAAAACATGCATGTCTGAGAAGAAGGATAATACCAGTGATGCCGTCTGCTGTAGGCTCCCATCAGTACGCTGGAGTGCCTGGTCGAGGCACACAGCTGGCGCTTCTTGCCATGCGTGTGCTACAGAGATATGCGCAAGCTGCTGGTCTCTGTCTCTGCATTCTTTCTGTTGATGTCATGCGTGCATACTACATGGTTATCAGAGAATTGGTCATCAAGACAGACGTTTCCCCATAATCGCTCACATCGTTATTGGAACAAGCCGGCCTTCCTGCATCATACCTCCCGCTCCTGGCGCAGCGCTTGCAAGAGCTGCCTTCGTTGCACACTCAGGACGTGGATGATCACTTCAAGGCTATGGTGGAGGAGGCTTATAGGTTTGGCTGGTTTCAGTTTCCAGGAGCTACGCGTATTGCGGTTACGTTTAGAGGAACCAGACCAGGGACCCCTTTTGGTGATGCTTTGTTTCTGTTCATCATAGCAGAAGTCACAAACAACATAGCTAGGGAGCTCAAGGAGATTGGGCTAACCTTTTCATTTGCTGTGCCACCTGACAATATTTTTGACGACAATCCAGCAGCTGGCGCAGAGGCTATGTTTCCTGGTATGGCGTATGCAGGTGACTCGCTGTATGCATTGCTTGCGCCTCTACCAGTGATTGAGGAGAGTCTGGAAGACTTCTGCAGAATTGCTGTTAACTCATATGCGTGTGTGGGCTTGGTGCCTCACTTGAAGATTGGAAAAACGGAGTTGATGTTGCAGTTGTCTGGCCCTGGGTCCGCCAAGTTTCGGCGCCATGTTTTTCACTCCCTGGGAAAGGTATACCCTGTTAGGTCCATATTTGTCGGTGGGGGCATTAATGTTGTTCGCACTGCAGTACACCTAGGCTCTGTTATTACCGACCGTGCACTAGTGGGCCCTGAACTTGTACACCGAGAAGCTGAATCACGGGTACAGCTGTCTGTGCTTAGCAAGGCCTTCATGAGGGCCACCAACGCATGTATCGTACCTAAGTTGGTTTGTACGGATTCACTTGTCATGAATTCTGCGCTGTATGGAGCAGGTACATGGTATAATACGTTTAGCAAGGCATGAATAGAGTTCGTTCTCAATACGTACGAAGATATAGGCGTGTGTTGAGATTGCCGTGCTTCGAGGCTGGGGGCCCTACTGATGAAGACGTCATGTCTGCTGCACTAAGGCCTGTGGTGTCTGTGGTGTTACGGGCTGCTCGGCTTCGATTATTCTGGCAGGTCTTGGCAGCTGCACCTACCCCGCTCCTGGCACTACTACATGCTGAGTACGTTCAGGCCAACGTAAGGGCTAAACAAAACTCATGGTTGCATCAGATCCTGGAAGACGTATCCTGGTTTAGATCGTCGCACCATGCTTTCCAGGAAATGCCCTTGCCGTCATCAGATTCTGGGGCTTGGGTTAAGAGAGTGAAATCGTCCAGGGGATCTTGGTTGCGTGCTATTCAGGAATGTGCTACGGCTGTTGCTGCTAAGGCGAGACGTGGTCTGCAAGCATCTCGATGGGAGAAGCGCCTCCTGAACATGATGAAAAGTGAAGGCCTCCCGTCTGCCAGAGACTTGCCTCAGCCTGTTGCGCGTAAGTGTTTCAAGTGTCATTGTTTGCGATTTTGTCACTGAAGAAAATACCATCTCTTGATGCCCACAGTCGGGCTAATCATACTACTCTGTCAGGCATTGCTCGGAGACACGTTGCTGAGAATGAATGCCTTGCGTGTTTAAGAGTGTTTGAATCGAGAGCGCTGCTGGTCAGACATGTCACGACCTGGCGTCCGATTTGCATGGTGTGTCATGTTACGCAGGTGCCTCCTCACATTCAAGAAGTGATCAAGGAGCTGACAAAGAAGGAAAAGCTGGAAAATAAGCTTGCCTTCAAGCGTGGATACGCATCGTCGCATGCCTCAATCCCATCTTGTATAGCCGCAGGCCCGATTCATCCAGCAGCTAGGGGCCGTAATGCTATGTATACGCGTTCGCAGGCACAACAATGTTTGCACAATGTTCTTCTGGGTGGTACGGGCTGGCCCAGGAAGGCCCTGGATCAGATGAAAGCAGATGGCCCCCCTGCACCAGGATCTGTAGACGGCACTCTTCTAGATTGACCCTATGATAGGAACGAATATACAGGTAGGCTGACTTCTATAGTACCTCGCAGACTGCATCGCCGTTTTCATTGCTCATTTGTTTTGTGGCCAACGCCGTTTTGATGACATTCAATGTGCTGTAGAAACGGCGTTGGAGCTCGTGCTACCTGATGTTGAGATACGCGTCCTGTCTATAGATAGTGTATTAGATTATGATGTTGGAGACCTTAGTAAGCCGTCTACGGTTGAGCTCTGGGCGGCTCATATTAAGGCAGGTAGAGTGGCTGTTTTAGGAGGGAGGGGCGGGCCATGTGAAACATTCTCCGCGTCTCGGTGGAAAGATGGGGGCCCTCCTCCACTGAGGTCCTGGAATGCCCCATGGGGGCTGGCGGCTTTAACCCCCGGGCAGAGACTCCAAGTACAGGTCGCAAATGATCTATAGATGGCCATTGTAGAACTACTGTGTGTTGCTGCATGTGTTGGTGGTGCAGGGTGGGTCGAACATCCAGCGTCACCCACCTGGGAGCCCAGAGCAGTCCCATCATGGTCCTTCCGCCCCACCGAAGCTCTTGCGTCTGCTCCTGCGTGTTCGTTTACGGAGTTTGACCAGTGTGAGTTTGGCCAGGATGGCAGAGCACCGACAGGAATTCTGGCTGTCAGAATGCCTTCGCTAGCCACGCTTCTAACATCCACCCCAGGAGGAGGTAAGTGTAGCCACGGTCCAAGAGCCCACGACGTGTTGTTGGGCAAAAAGGCCGACGGTTCCTTCCGTACCTCCAGGAAAAAGGTGTACCCGTCAGCTTTGTGTTCTGTTTTATCGCAAGCCATGCTTGACACGGTTCTCCCGAATATTGAATTCTGCGAAGAGAATGACAGTGATCAGTGTGAGCTGCTCATTATTGTTTTGTTTCCACGGCTTCTTTAGTCTCCGAGGCTCCGTGTATGGGCCCTGACTTTGCGGTTCCAAGATCCGAGAGAAGCAATCAACATATTCTAGGATTATGTCGATTCGTGGCGATGATACGGACTTGTGCGATTTCCGTGAGAATGATTTTGACACTCACTCTGTTGCTATGTCATTTGCCAGGGAGCCCACGCCAGAGACCCCAGGGAGCTCTCAAGAGATTCCCGACTTGCGTAATGTTTCCTCTGTTCCCCCTCCACCCCTTCCCCTTCCGTTATCAGAGGCCGTACTTGCAAGGATTGCGGCTAACAGGGCCGAAGCGGTGCGTCGGCGCAGGGAGAGAGTGGCCGAACGCAAGAGACTTCCTATGTTATATTTAAACCTGTTTGGGCCACCTCCCGAGCTGCCGCCACCAGCTGCAGCCCATGAGAAGGTCCAGGCTGATCTCCATAAGTGATTCAAGACCGCCATCGAAGGAGGCGCAGGCGCAGGCTAGCTTCTTGTTGTCTTTGTTGTTGTGTGTCTTGTATTGGTGGGACGGATGGAGGATGTTATGATGTGTTGGTGTGGGGAGGGAGTTACGTGCTTGTGCAGTGTTAGGTCTCGCTCGTGCTGAGTCAAGTCGGCACTCGGATTCCATATCTTGAGTCGGATGCCTAACCAGTTATTTTTGTGGCCCTTCTAAGGGCCTACTCTGGTCAGCAAGATTAGCATGTCTTGCACACCCCCGGCAGTGCCGTCCTGAGTGACGGTCTTTCGCGGTTCCCCGAGTTCCGAGTTCCGAGTTCCCCCCCTCGCTCGCCGCCGACATCGCGGAAGCACGACTGAATATGTACACGCCGCCCCCAACCCACATATTCGGGGTGGTCCAAGGCCTTCGCGCTGGGTGGGGGTGCACTGGCAAGTCGTGAGCAAAGCCGAAAAAGCCCCGGGCCTGGGACAGCTCGTAGTCGCCGGCCTCCACCCTCCAAGACGACACCGGGCACTGCACGTCGCCTCGGCCGCGCGCGCGCGCGCTAGCTCGGGGCCTGGCGCGCAGAGGGAGGGCCCACACGCGCGATATTCCCCGCGTTCGCGCGCGGGGCATGTCGGGCCGGCCGCGGCCGCCGCGCACTCGGCGCGGACCCGCGCCGCGCTGCGGAACGGCGGCCATCCTTGTGGTGCCCATGTCGGCGGCGAGCTAGGGTGGGAATGAGAAGGGGCGGGCCTTCTCGGAAAGCTCGGAAGTCCGCTGGCCTTCTGAGAAGTTGTCTTAGCCTTCCCCGAAGACGGGGAAAACCTCTCAGATGGCATTCTGAGAAGCTTTCTGAGCCTTCCCCGAAGACAGGGCGAAACCTCTCAGACGGCGCGAGGCCTTCTGAGAAGTCCCGCCGCCTTCTGAGGAGGCCCTCGCCTCCTCGCTTCCCCCCCTCGCTCGCCGCCGACCCTGGGCCGTACCAGGGCGAGCCTCGGTCGTTCCTCGAGCAGTCGCTGTGCACGGCTGCTCGCGGTGCATCCCGACAATCTCCGCTTCGGCGTCGCCGATGTGCATCGCTGGCGTCGCCGAGGCGTCGCCGATGCATCGCCGACGCAGCGCGGCTCTCCGGCCACATCCACCTGGACCCCATGTGTGGGAGGCCTCTGGACATGCTCGCGTCGTGACAAAAATCACGACGAGAGATTCTCTGGCCAGGTTCGGGCTCCCGATGGGGGCCCTCGCCGGGCCTCGGGACGGTCCAGAACGAGTCGGAATGACAAATCGGCCTCGGGGAGCGGGTCGGGACCTCAGGGGATCCCGCATGGAAAAAGAGTAGAGCATCGGAAGTCTGGGAATAGATGTAGCGGCCGAGAGGGGGGCGTCGAAGAAGGGGGTTCGCAAACCATGGCCCGAGGCATGTGCGCGGACGAGACATGGGCCAAGGAACGCAGATTGGAAGAAGAAGAAGAAGAAGAAGAAGAGGAAGAAGAAGAAGAAGACGGGGCTCGGAGAGCTGGGGTCAGACTGTCGTCATCACCCTCCATGGATCGCATTGCTTCGAGCACCGCGCCCCGCGAGACGCGATACAGTGGAGGCCAGAGCACACGAAACCTTCCACAAGAAACCCAACCCCGAGACCCCAGGACATCCGATGGTTTGTGGTGTGGGAGCGCCACGCTCTCCATCGCAAGCCCGTCGAAGCCCAAGAGACCCAGGGCACCCTGGAGGCGAGCAGGGTGCTTCTTGGCATTGGCCTCCACTGTATGCTCCGCGAACGGGCTCACCGAGCACACAGAAGTGGGCCCAACCTCAACGCACGGTGTGGGAGCGCCAAGCTCTCCATCGCAAAACCATCGAAACCCAGGCAAGAGACCCGGGGCACCCTGGAGGCAAGCAGGGATGTCGCTTGGCATGGGCCTCCACTGTACGTCCTCGCGCGCCCCCGCGGGGGGCCTTCGATGATCAGGCGCCAGCCCACGCGAGTGTACTCTGAAGACTGACTGGCAGGACGGAGCCAGGACGATGACAAGATCGGGTGAGGTTACAGCCGGGCCCACGCCAGAAGAACACCCCTCAAGGACATGAGACCCTCCGCCAGCCAGAACAGACAGAACATCCAAGGGCATCCTCCCCAGGATGTGCAGGAACATCCAGCAAGCACGAAGAACATTAGGGTACCCTCCCCGAACCGACCTCGATCTCCTTATACCTCGGTCCGACTGCAACGCACGCGAACGCACTCTGAAGAGGGAATGCAAGACGAAGCCAGGACGATGGTAAAATCGGGCGATGATAAATTGAGAATCTCTGATATCCGGCGGCTCTGTAGGATGTCTCAGGCGTCGCGGTCTTCTCGGAGCGCTCCGGAACGCTCTGAGAGCATTCTGGCATGCTCTGGAACGGATTCGTCCTCGTCCTAGCCCCGTCCGACTCTGAGCTGCTACCGAAGGAAGACGAGGGAGAGGAGGGGAGGAGGAAATTCTGTGCGCCTCCTCCACCTCCATCCTCTGGGCTCCTTCCCCACGGCGGACCTGGGCCCTCCTGGTTTCCGCACCCCCCTCTTGGTCTTCAATAGGGGGCCACATGCGAACCCTACCCCCACCCCCCACGATTTCTGAGGGGGAGGGTGGGGTTCACTTCGTTCGGGAGCTCCCGAGCGAAGTGAACCCCACCCTCTCCTTCGTGGGGGGTGGGGGTAGGGTTCGCATGTGGCCCCCTATTCAAGCGGCTCCTGCTGCAAGACCCCACCCTGTCGCGAGCACACGTCCGGGCACGCGCTCCTCCCAGGATCCGCCACACCGAACCGTCAAATCGCATCGCATCGACACGCGCACCGGACGGGGCCACATCGGCAACAGGACCTAAATCGCACCGGATCGGCTGCGCCAGGATGCACAGCACCGCCACTCAAGAGCAGCAGGCCGCACCGCATCGCTGGAACCTCGGGACCGAATCGGATCGGGCCGGCCGGAGCCGACCCCGGGGCGGCCGGACCGGCATGGACCCCGTGGTCGGTCGACTGGCCCTCCGACCACGGCGCTCCGCGAGCCCGCCCCGCGGCGCAGGACGCTGAGGGCTCCTCCGAAGAACACCCTCAGCCTGTCGCCGTTCAGCGGACCTCGGGGCGCTGCGCGGTCAGAGGAGAGGGGGCTGCCGGCGGCGAGCAGCCCCCCGGGGCCCCCGCGCGGTGCCCGGGGCGTCGGTTCGGCTCCTGCCAACTCTGTGGGGTCGATCTGGGTTACAGGAAGGTAAAGCATTTGTTGACGAGACGGTATACTGAAAGTGCGAAAACAAGAACTAACAACAACATACGATTCCAGATCTTCGGCAACAGTGCTTCTGCTTGTTTGCCAGCGGAGCGGAGGGCGAGGAAAGGCAACTATAGGCCCAGCCCGGGTTATGGGAGCCGTCGGCTGTCCAACTGACGGGAAAGAGGCCACCACCATGCAAGAGCTGTCCAGACAGAGGGAGAGCGATCAGTGCATGGTTTGAAATGGGATCGACAAAAATCAATAAGAAGATCGACCGGGAACCTGGGAACCCGGGAACCCAGAACCCACCGAAATCGGCCCGGAGCCGATGTCCAGGAACCTGGGAACCCGGAGCTGGGAACCCAGGAGTCCAGCCGGCCACCAAAATCAGCGGGAAACTTTCGCCAAATCATTCGATTACACTGGGTAAAAGCCCCAATCAGTGGATGGTTTAAAAATTAGTGATATGGCTATTGATATCGATTGTGAGATCGATAGTAGGATCGAGAAGGAGGACGACTCTAAGGTCGATCGTGAGACCGATAGTGAAGTCGATTCAATGAGATCGATAGTGAGATCGATTGTGAGACCGATAGTGAGACGATTGTGAGATCGATACTGAGATCGGTAGAGAAATGGGTAATGGGATCGATTGCGAGACCGGTCGATAAGAAGATCGACCAAGAACCCAAAAACCTGGGAACCCCGCCGCCCACCGAAATCGGCCCGGAATCTGGAACCAGGAACCTGGGAACCCAGGAACCCGGAACCGGGAACCCGGGAACCCAGCCTGCCACCAAAATCGGCGGGAAGCTTTCGCCAAACCTTTTTCAACTTCCGCTGGGACCCATTCAGTGCAAGCACGGATTATTGGGGAATTACTCCTGAGAAAACCAAATCAGTGGATGATTTGAAAATTCATACTCTGGATCTTGAGATCGATTGTGAGATCGATAATGAGATCGATAGTGGAATCGGTAGTGAGGGCGATTGTAAGGTCGACCGTGAGACCGAGAGTGAAATCGATTCTCTAGTGAGATAGCTTGTGAGATCGATAGTGAGATCGATTGTGAGATCGATGGTGAGATCGATAAAGAAAAAGATAATGAGATCGATGGTGAGACCGATCGATAAAAAGATCGACCAAGAACCCCGGAACCTGGGAAGACCTCGCCACCCTCCGAAATCGGCCCGGAACCCGGAACCAGGAACCCAAGAACCAAGAACCGGGAACCCGGGAACCCAGCCAGCAACCAAAATCGGCGGGAAACTTTCGCCAAATCCCTCAACATCCGCGAGGACCCCTTCAGCGCAAGCACTGACTGGGGAATACCCGCTAGGACCCCTTCAGTGCAAGCACCGAGTGGGGAAAAAGGAAAAGACATTGGCAACAGTGTGTGATACCGCGGCGGCGGTGACAGTTGTATTTGAGTGGGGACTCTGAAAACAAAAAACTGCAGAGCTTCGCAGGCCTCCTGTGAAGGAGGGGCTCGTGGACAGAACCATGATGTGTAAGCCCTACACATAAATACATTCTGCGTGGGAGGATTTCAAACCGATTCCTTCCGTGAGATGAACTTCCCAAAACGGAATGATACCGGAGACAAACCAATCATAATCCTTTTAGGGCTATGGGGCTATAGAGCTATTGGGCTATAGGGCGATTGGGCTATAGGGCTTTAGGGCAATAGGCTTATAGGGCTAGGCACCCGGGCACCCGGGCGTGCCGCCGAAATCGGCGCCACAGCTAACCTCATCAATGAATCCGCTAGGACCCCTACAGAGGCAAGCTCTGATTGGGGAATCACTTCTGTGCAAACGCCCCTTTTCTGTGCGAGCGCCCGAAAAAGAAGGAACCGAGAGGTGACGTGTCGGTAATGTTCCTCGGCCTCCCACGGGGGGGGGGGGTTAACTGGGTCCGCCCCCGACTCTGATCGATGGCCTCCGACATGGCGGCCAAGAGGGGGCCTAAGGAGGCACCCATGGGGGCCCCAAGAGGCTTCCAAGTTTGCCCCTAGAGGGCCCCAAGTAAGCTGCCAAGAGGCTCCCAGATCGGAAGATCAGAGAAGGTATTTTGGTTGACTCCTGAGCACGCTAAGGCTGTTCCCGAGCTTCGGTTTGACGCCTGTACCCATCTTTGTTCCACTACTGATTCCCTCACTTTCCTGGGCAAGGCAGCTCGCCTGGGCATCGTTTCTGGATGGGCTGGTGGGGCGACGCAATGCGGCAAGAACGTCGCATTGAATCATTATGGATTGGCTCTACATTTTCTGCAGGAGAAGATTTACACATCGCTCCATTATGCGACGAGGGAACGGCCCACACGCAATCCTTATGCGCGAGCTGTGCGAATCTGTTCATGTTGTCTAGACGTTACCCAAGTATTCCTGTTGCTTGCGGCTTAAAAATGTACTCCTGTTGTGGAGCGCGTCCTGTCCAGAATGCGAGAGAATGTCATGTTTGCGGGGGGAGGGATGTGCATGTGCTCCTGATGTGTGGCCACACGCAACAAACAAAAGGAGGCCCCCGTCCCCGCAACAGAGACACACAAAAAAACAAAAGCATAACACAATCCTCGAATCAGGAATGCGACATCAAACCTGTTGTTTCAATGCATGGATTTGTTGGATTCCCAATGGTCACGTTGCGTTCCTGCTCCCAGCTGCGGACCGATGAGAGAAACGACGAAGAGCAATGGAGTTGCACTGAAGACGTTTCCTCTTCGAAATTAATCCAGGGACTGTTCCGCCGAAGAGACAGGAGTAGCAATGATGCCGTCTTCGGAACACGAAGCCGAGCGCTGGAACCACAAACAACACATCGCAGGGGGCCGAAACCGAACCGATGGCACCCCCCACGCTGCCGCCGCCACGCGTGAGCGGCTGCCCCTGACTGTGGCCCACCGGGCCCCCCAATGCCACAAGATAGGCAAAGAAAGGGTGGTCCGCGGACCGCGGAGCCCTCGGCGCGGGCTTGGACTGCGGGAGGGGGGGAGGGGGGGGGGGGCGTTTTTTCTCGGGTCGGGCGAAAGGGGGGGATAGCAAAGGGGGGGTTTGAGAATCAGCTCGCGTAGCTGATTTTCCCGGCGCCTCCCGGCGCCGGAGGCGCCCATGTATCGAGGAATGGGCCCCTCGGTCGGGCCGAAACCAGCTGCATGCAGCATATTTCGCACCCCCCCTTTCCCAAACCCCCCCTTTCGCCCGACCCGATTTTCGTCTCAGCAACCTGAGACCACCACGACGAGCCGATGAACACCTCAGTGCGCTTGCGAAGGAACGCGGGAAGCCGGACCTGCCAAGACCACATCGAAGGCTCGCGAGCACACCGTGTGTTCACGGGCTCATGCTGTGGTGTTCCTCGATCGGCAGCGCTGGCGCCGCCTGCGGCTGGCGCCGCCGCTCCCACTCCCCCCGGGGCCCTACAATCCGTACAAGTCAGTCTGCGACTACTGAATGCTCCAATGCTGCTGGCGTCGCATCCTCATCCTTATCCTCCGCCTCCTCCGTGTCATCCTGCTCATGCTGCTCATGCTAATCTTCGCCGTGCTCGTCGTAGTCCCGCCAGCCCTCTGGGGGACAGGCGGTGTAACGATGTCTTGCATTCCTCTTCCACAACCTGGCACAACCCCTTCTTCCCCTTCGGCGGGGGGGTTATCACTGTTCCTTGTTAGTGTAAACCCCCTCCGCCACCCGGCCGGCGGCCAACCGGGAACCATGCCGACCCCATGCGGGCCCGCCCCCCACTATCCCTGTCAAAAAACAATACGAACCGCATTCTGCCTCCACATTTGGAGCATGCGCGGCCAACCCGATGCGGCCCCCCCCACCATCTCTGCCAAAAAAACAATGCAAAGTACACCGGGGAACAAGGTCTTGAATCATGTTCGTGAGGCCCGCGAGCACTTTGTATTGTTTTGAAAGGCGCGGCGGGGGTGTCAGCATATTCCCTGCTGCGCGCAGGGCTACCATCCCTGACAAAAAAACAATACAACATGCACCTCGCGGCTAAATCGGGGTCATGCGCGGCCATTCCGCGATCACTGCCAAGTGGTTTTTGACAGGGACGGCGGGGGTGGTGGCGCGTGGCCTGCTGTGCGCAGGCCCACCAAACACAATGATGGACATTGATTTTCGACAAAATGGCGGGGGCCGACATGATTCCCGATGTGTGCTGTCACGTGCGCAGGCGCACCTGACGCACTCTGCACGTGCCCCGAACGTGGCGCACCTGGCGCGGCTGGAGTGTGCGGCACACCTGGCGCACTCGGAGCGCGTGGCGCATCTGGCGCACCAGGCGTGCCTGGCACGCTCGGGCCCCAGGGGTGCCTGGCGCGCGTCGCGCCCCTGGCACGCGTGGCGCACCTCGCCCAAGCGTCGCGCACCTGGGGTCGGCTTTGGTTCCCAGTAGCTGCCCATCCAAAAACGACCGCCGAAGATGCTCAGGCTCGGGTGTTACTTATGTGTTGGGGGGGCGGGCGGGATGGCCCAAGATGGCCCAAGATGGTCCCAAGATGGTCCAAGATGGCCCAAGAGGCCCCCACGACGGCCCCAAGAGCGCCCAAGATTGCCCCAGAGGGCCCCCAAAGCGCCCCAAGAGGCTATTTTGATGGCCCCAGAGGGGGGACCGGACCGAACGTTAGGACTCCCCCTCTTTTCACAGACAGCCTCCACGACAGCCCCAAGAGGCCCTCCAAGGCTCCCAAGAGGCCCCCAAGAGAGCCCCAAGAGCTCCAAGAGGGCTCCATGAGGGCCCCAACACGCCCCAAAAGAGCCCCAAGAGGACCCCAATACTCCCCAAAGAGCCCCAAGAGGGCCCCAACATGCCCCAAAAGAGCCGCAAGAGGACCCCAATACGCCCCCCAAAAGCCCCATAGCTCCACGGAGGCCTCCAATGCTCCAAGATGGCCTCCAACATGGCTCAACACGTTTCTCCCTCTCCTCTCTTTGACCACTCTGTTTCACTATATGCGCCTCTGCTTTCCATTTCCCGTCAGCTCTCGTGGACAGGGCTTCTGAATGGGCTGGCGGGGATTCGCGAAGCGTAAACAGTTCTCGTCGCCCTCATCGTCCTCGTGGTCCCCGTCGTCTTCATCGTCGTCGTCCTCGGCGTCGTGGTTCTCGTGGTGGCCCTCGTCGTCGTCCTCGTCCTCGTTGTCCTCGTCCTCTTGCTCATCGCCCTCCAGCTCTTCGTCCTTGCCGTCCTCGTTCTCGTCATCTTCCTCTTTCGCAGGCTAGCGTGGCACCTGCAGGGGCATGCTCCTGCACACAGGGACGCCGTGGTGTCACACGCCACAGTGCGATTGTGAACACCACGGCGTGCTCACGACCACCAGGCGGCGAGGGAAGCAGGACCCTGCCAGTACCACATGAGGAGGAGGAGACGAGGAGGAGGAGGAGGAGGAGGAGGAGGAGGAGGAGGAGGAGGAGGAGGAGGAGGAGGAGGAGGAGGAGGAGGAGGAGGGGGGAGGAGGAGGAGGAGGAGGGGAGGAGGGGGAGGGGACGAGGAAGGAGGAGGAGGGGGAGGAGGAGGAGGAGGAGGAGGAGGAGGAGGAGGAGGAGGGGGAGGAAGGAGGAGGAGCACAGCTGCGCACGACGGCATGGAGGATCCCGCAGGTGGCACGTCGGCCCGCGAGGTACGCAGTGGGCCGGGGGAAGGGCACGGGCGGCGGGCCTGCGGCACGCCGGCCTGCGAGCACCACGGCAGCCTGCCAGCGCCACTGCAGCCTCTGCGAGCAGCGCGCAGGCGCCAGGCTCGCGCCGTGCTGCGAGGCTCCAGGGCGCGCGCGCGCGCTGCTGCGGCGGCCGTGCCCCGCGGTCGCATTTCGGAGGGGGGGGGGAGGCGTTACACGTCGTTATTTTTCTAGTCGTGCTCATATCTAAGTGTGCCCGCTTCTGATTGTCCCTGGCCCCCTACTGGCCAGGAAGAGACCCAGGATAGAGCAAGTAGAAATGAAAGGATCTTGGCCCCCAAAAAATCAAATAACTTTCGAAGAATTAGAAATTAACAACGTGTGCGTTTGGAAAGGGGGGGGCAAGGGGGCCATGACGCGCGTCATGGCCCAGGTCTTTCCGAGATGCTCTCCAGGGCCCGGGGGGAGGAGTTTGTGGCAGTCGCTCCTCCTGGTTCTGTCACGGCGCCAGGTGGAGGGACCCCACAGCCACTTTGATTCGCTTGCCTGCTGGCAAATGATCAAAACGATTCCCTCCCAGGACCTTCGCGACACACTGAGGCTGAAAAAGTGTTAACATCACGAGCCAAGACGGGCATCCGAAAACCTGCAGGGAGCGAGACAGAGATGGACACATCGAGCGCGATGCAAACTGGCCATATCTTCGTGAAGCTGTACGGAGAGATATTGCACTCCAGTGCACACCCTGACGGTTCAGGGCACGAACAAGAGGACCCCACTCCGCCGGACCCCCACATGTTCGGAGCACAGTGACGACAGTTACGCGTCTGGCAGTACTCAGGCAAGGCGAGGGCGATGCTTTGAGCTACATGTGGCGCCACTCCGCTGGACCCGACAGGGGCGCACGAAAGCGGCGACGGTTGCTCGTTTGGCAGCTCTGGAGATTGGCGAGGAGGAGACTTTCATTTGCGTGTGACACCACTCTTCTGGAGCCCCCAGGGGCGTAGCGAAGTAACAGAACATGTACGACTGGCAGCAGACGAGGGAGTGCGAGAGAGAGACACTGTGAGCTGCACATGGCACAACTCTTCTGGAGCCCCCAGGGGCGTAGCGAAGTGGCAAACATTGCACGTCTGGCAGCAAACAAGAAAGCGCGGGGGGAAACTTTGGTCTGCGTATGACACCACTCTCCAGGAGCCCCCAGGGGCGTAGCAAAGTGGCAAAAGTTGCACGCCTGGCAGCAACCGACGGAGGGCGAGGGGGGATACGTTGACACGCGTGGCACCCCACTCCGCTGCACGCTCCAGGCGCGTATTGAGAGAACCTGGGGAGGGCGTGTAAGACAAGTTCCTCTAACAGCGTTTGCCGTTGCAGTCATCGTGCTGCCAGAAGGAACACCGAGCAATGAACGAAGGGGCTTCTCTGGCCACGGCTGGCCTCGGCCACGATCCCCGTGGCATTCTCCGGGTGGGCTAGGACGTACCCGCGAGACTGGCCAGATCGGCAACACTGGAGGAGGTCCGTCTGACCGCACCGCGTGGGAAGGGACGCGGCCAAGGCAGAACGGAACGCCCTGATCGGCGGCGCCGCTACCAGGACCCCGAGGCGACCTTCGAGGACGACTGAGACGTTGCTGCCGAACGACCCGTTGAGCGGGTGCACGTCCAGCAGTTTCGGCGTGGCGGCCTGTCCGAAGGGGGCTCTCCCGACACAGTCCTTGCCTTCCTCGTCCTCCTCCATCTGGGCGGCGAAGAAATGGGGGCCTCACGCTGGAAGAAACGGCGACCTTACGCGGTGGTCGACGCGGGCCGCCAGTGCGCCAGGCTGCGTGGAAAAGGGGGCGTTCACGCGCGACCGTCTACGCGGGCAGACCACGCGAGGATGTCCGCACGATCGACCCCGTCATCGAAACACCCCGACACAGGAGGCAGGAGCCGTTAGAATCAGGGCACATGTAATTTCACTGCGGATGCAAGCCCAAATCTGCACACACGGGGGGGGGGGGGGGGGGGGGGCGCAGGTGGTGTCGAAGTGGCAGCGAACCCCAGGTGAATGTGCAATCCCCGTTGCGCCCAAACTCCTGATTTCGCTGACCCCGCGGCGTCCTGCAGAGATGACGACATGGCCAAATCCTCGCGGCGGGCTAGCCATCCTCACC